CATTCCGGCATTGAAACTCACATTCAAACGCGATTGAAACATGGCCAAGGCAACATACTGGCTTTGACTGAAACTAAATCAAGCCAAGTTACAAATATCGGAAAACTTTCCCTCGCACGGTAAATCTTTTTTTTTCATGGCCACCTGCATTCTATCGTCTGGCTCCCCCGCTATGCATGTCCCGACTCCGGCGCAGCAGTTGTCTGTGGCGACGCTAGCGACCTCTAGGGATGACCCGACACCCTGCCCGCAGGATGATAATATTTAGCCCCAGGCGGTGCACCGGTTTACATTTGACCGGGGAGAGAGGGGAGGAGGAGAGAGAGGGATGGGGTCATGAGGAGGTCATGGGGTTACTGGGAGCATATCGCAACGTAGATCAGAGGTGGGGATGGGGGAGGAGGGGAAGGAGAGAGGAAGGGAGAAGACTTGAAGAACAATGAAATTGAATAGGTTGAAGCTATGAAGATGAATTGAGTTACTGGTGAGTTGAACTATGCATTGAAACATTGATAAGTGAAGAGACAGAAGATGTTGTGGAGAGAGAGAGAGAGAGAGAGAGAGAGAGAGAGAGAGAGAGAGAGAGAGAGAGAGAGAGAGAGAGAGAGAGAGAGAGAGAGAGAGAGAGAGAGAGAGAGAGAGAGAGAGAGAGAGAAAGCGTAAAGAAATGAGGATAAATAAGAATTGATAAAAGAAGTGACAAGAGATGTCGACGAGACGAGTGAGTGCGCAGAAAAGAGAGCAGGCATAAGAGAGAGGGGAAGAGGGGAGAGGGAGAGAGAGGGCCGGTGGTCCGTCGGGACCGGGACCGGACTGCCGGGTTCGCCTGCCAACTACCGACGGAGTCATTCGTTAAACGGACACGTCTCGCCCGCGACACGCTGAGTCAGATACCCCGAGGTCAGTGACTCCGGGGACATACTGACCGGCGTCTGGTGACCGTGACCCCCCCCCCCCCCCGAGGGTGTGAGAGTGATAGGTGGTAGAGGAAGCCGTCTCGGTCGAGGTGTGTCCGATTATCGAATGACGGCTGGTCTGTTGACGCGGCATGTTCGGTGCCAAGAGCTAAGTCGGCCGAAAATCGTAAGAACTCAGACCTGAAACGTCAGCTACGCACTGAAAACAGTGCCGGTCCTAGCCGCGATATACGGGAAGAACTAGCATGAAACATACTCAGCGGGCGTATATTTATTAGCAATGTTCGTGGTTCTGCGGATAGATGGCAGTAGCAGCGTGCGGAGAGGTTATACTGTGCCGCAGTGCATATGAAAGTCTTGTCCATAGATGGCGTTACGTGTCAGCGCCTGAAGGTAGACTGTGCCGCATGACATCTGCCTATATAGCGGCCGGCGCGTACCGTAATTCGTTTGCCGAAATACGGGTAACTTTTTGTGTTGTTAATGTGCAGCAAATTTCTGTATGACATTTTTTAGCATTATATGCGATATTGTATAGCTACGACACCTTCCCAATCCTAAATACGTTCCGGAAAATGTTACAAAATGAACCCAACCGAGGGCTGCTACTTGAGAAAGCGCACAGGACATGTAGTAAAAACACGACCGGGCTCTGCCAGTCTCGATATCGTTTCGCTCGCGTGTTTTCCGATGAGAAGCCTGCGTTTTGCTGGCACCGGACGGTGTTTTCGATGGTGGTTGGCGTTCGTCCCAGCGTACATCTGTGGAGTGCTGAGTGGATCATTGGAGGTCGAAAACAACTCGTAATGGGAAAGAACAGCTGGAAGATAGGCAAAGGTGGTGTCATATGCATTTTGTAGATAACATGTCGCATCGAAAGTCATATAATGTCGCTAAGGAATAGATAATTATTTGTAGCTCACGCCATCAAAGCATGTAGAAACTATGCGGAAATAGATCAAGCTAAATGGTTGTTTTAAAACACACAATTTGATATATTAGTTTTGAACCAACAACTACATACCTACAATCCAGTAACAGGCAGTGGTCATATCCGCTAGCTATTACAAATCACATCAACGAACTGAAATTCATATATACATTTCTAGACATTTCTACGCCAGCGAAACCCAAAAGGTCTCGGCTATAGTCATCGCATTACTCATTCATCTACATATATGAAGACATCACCTTGTCACTCAAAGAATGACAACAGGCCCTGGCAACTGACAAACTCACTGACAATTCTACAACGAGCTCTGTCCAAAGTACGCCCCAAACACTCCTTCAACAAGCCAAAAGTACAACGTAAGCAATGTCATGAAGTCATCACTCACTCGTAATAATGCTTGAACGGCACTCCTCAGCGGCCTGGGCGCGTGAAGCTGCTATGTCATGACGTCATCTAGTGGTGACGTCACTGTGGCTATAGACGGGGACCTGTCGTGTTGTATTAGGAGTGACATTGTTCATTGGGTGTTAAATGGGATGACGGTGTCACGTCTGAAGCTACTTCAGTGGCCGAAATGGTTTGAAACTGCAATGGGTGGAACGAAATATGCTCATGATGTTGTGAATAGCCCAAAGAAACAACTTTTGGGGGAACTCATCATGCGATGAATCATAGATAACATGAATAATATTATCTATAGATAAATAAATCTCACAAGACCCAAATATTTATGAGAAAGACCACAAACCATTGAACCCCAGCCCCCCCCCCCCCAGCCTCCTCCCAAGGCACCTGACCCAGCTGACGTCTAAGGTGACGTCATGACGTGGTGACGTCACTCTTTATTACATCAGCAGTGTGAACGTTATGTAGGCGACAGGCAGTCTGATGCAACTGATAATATATGAGCGAAATGTCAACCTGGACCGGATGCGAGAGCATGAGATCGAAAGGCGAATCTTAGACTTTTCTGAAATCTCACAAAAAAGGAAATAGTAACAACAGATGCAAAATCGATGCTGGTAGTCATGCAAAACTGTTAACAATCACCGACCATTGAGCAGTGTTGATATTATTAGGACTTTTTAAAAACTGCGATGTTTATGTTTATCAATTACCTGATTCGAGGCTGTTTTCACGCATTTCCAATCGGTTCGTTTAATGTTTATGTGTACTATCTCGTGAATGAATGAATGCAATTCAAACACTTCATGTAAACCAACAGTTTATTGACGCATCTATTGCACTTGTTATCCATAATGCACCTAGCCATACATCTTTGCTTGCATCGAAGGCCAGCGAAATGTTTATTTATATTCTCACTATGAAGGCAAACACAGAGTCATGGTCCCGCTTTGATCTCGGAGTCACGATACCAGAGTCAACATTAATAAGTAATATAATCCGGTCGAGTCGACGCTAATTGACTCCGAGTCGACATGACTACCGGGAGTCGCGATTGATGTAGAATCAGATGACCAGACAGAGTATTTTGGTGGTGAAATTTGTGGACATAATGGCCTTTCCATGTGTCTTCAGGTGTTATTTTTTGGCAAACCACCGGGAGAGTCAACAGAGTCAAATCATCCGTGATGACTCAGTGGTAGGAGGTGTGACTCTGACTCGACAAAGGTCATCATGTCTCAGACCTTGTTACCTTTGGAGAAACAGAGTCGTTGGGTCTTCCGATCACTAACATGTGAATTGTCTATTAGCCGGCAAATTAGGATTTTAACAGTTCCTGGACGTGACCTTCAGGTGACCAAAAGATATGCCTACCTATTAGGATACTGATAATTGTACCAAGTTGGAAAAACATGCATTGAAATTTGAAACGAATTTTATGCCAAACACTGTCCCCAATCGCGCCTTTTCGAAGGCATTACTCTGCTCATGTCTCTGCTGTCTGCAGTAAGTTATCATCCACTGAACAATTGAGTAACACAAATATCAGCAAGCGATGCGCCAAAGGCACCTGTCCTTGTGACCTCCCCTCTGCGCCAAGTGGACTCGTCCATGTTTCAAACCTCGCCACAGTCGGGCGCCTTCGGAGCCAAAACCAACATGGCGGCTGGTCTGTTGATACAAATATCAGTCGTCTCGCCGCCACCAGCGCCTCTCCGGAGACGAGCAGACGGCCGAGATGAGTGGTTGTCATGGAAACGCGGTTAAGACAAACGGTATCCATGAACACGTGAAGGAGTTTTTTATGTGACAAAAAAAGACACGATTATTAAACCATAACTTTCTTGCAATTACAAATGATGTCGACACCACAAAATCACACTACTTGAAAAGGTAATTATATCGAGCACAAACACTGTCTACAGCTCACTGCATTATCCCAACAAAAACTCATGATTTTTCCCACGAACTCTACAATTTCACCATATCAACCCGCTCGTACACCTTCGCTATGTTTTCAGCTCAAGTCTATCTTGAAGTGTCGCCAGCGCCGGGTTCGCTACAGCTCATGCCAAGAAACCACTTAGTGGCGCCACACCTCTTGTCAGACTCGTCCTAACCTTTTCCACTCGACACCTCCACCCGAGGCAATTTCCACTCCCAGCCAAATCCAACCGATCCCTTCCAAACCGACCCTCCGCAAACCCTCGACGGCGACAGCGGTGAACTTTGACCTACATCCTTTGATCCTGCCGCCCGCCCGGCCGCCCGCTCGCTCGTGAGGTCACGTGACCTGTGCTGACCTTGACCCTGATTTGATGTGCTGGTGGATGTCTGTCTGTCTGAAGTGCCGCCCGCTTTAGCAGTTGGCGATAAGGTTGACAGAGGCTCGGCTAAAGGAGGGTTCACCTGGTGGCTTGCAAGGGAGTTGTAATATTGAAGTGGATTGTCGTTTGATACATTATGACGAATTGGAAGGAGCTGTGTTATTTTAACATTTTTAAATTTGAAGAACTGAATAAATGTCATAGATATGCGATTTTTTGTGTCGCAACTCCCTATTGTCACTGACTTAACACGGTTGTCTCTCTTTTGCCTCAATATCTCATTAAATATATATGACCTTACTCTTTCATTTTTTTATTCTTGTTTAACCACCCTTCAACGTCTCCGTTGACTTATTTAACCCTCGTTTTGCTTACCACCCTTTCCCTCGTTTTCAGGTCGCTCGCCTCCTCGTATCGCCAAGATGAAGAGTGTTCGACTACCAGCCGGCCGTCGCCTGCGGCTACAGTGTCGAGTACGGGGTGTTCCGTTACCAAGGGTATCCTGGTATCACAACGGGAGGCCCGTGAACGCCAGTAGAAGGATACGGTTCAGGACTAAGAAGTGAGTATTTGTGCTAGGGTGAAGAGAGGGGAGGGAGGGGGAGGGAGAGAGAGAGAGAGAGAGAGAGAGAGAGAGAGAGAGAGAGAGAGTGAGAGAAAGAGAGAGAGAGAGAGAGAGAGAGAGAGAGAGAGAGAGAGAGAGAGAGAGAGAGAGAGAGAGAGAGAGAGAGAGAGAGAGAGAGAGAGAGAGCGTCTAAGGGGGAGGGAGACAGGCACAGGTGAGCAGAGTGGTGAAGACAGATGATAACATTTTGTGTGGGAACACATCTGCCATTATATGTGCATGCCTCCTCGCTCCTTCAGAATACAATTGTTTACTATTATAAAACACGTATTGTAGTATTCTTATATGTTTGGCTTAGATCGTCCATCAAAAACTCATGCTCAATTCAAGACCAAGACAATGGCGGTTCAGCTGCCGGAAACCTCACCTGTTGACCAAAGCACTAACGCTAAATGCCAACAGATTTCCATTCAATCTTGCGCCCTTTGATGTCGTAACGCTGACTAGAATCAACAACTGCCGCCAGCTATTGACGTAATGTTTTCTGAGAATAAATCCCACACCAGTTTCATGAAGTGACCGGGGGCTACTTGGCAGCCAGCCAAGATGTCAAATTTGCTTCCTTCTGGTGATAAATGGTAGTCATACGCTGGGATCTAGAAAATTAATGTTGGCGAGTGTTTTGTGAGGACAAATAACAGCGAGGGTGATCTAATTTAGTTGCGGAAGCAAGGCAGGTGTTCGCTGTTGAATACGTTATGAATGTATTCGTTAATGGACTATCCGTGACAAGGTTACACAGGATATTCAGGGTCGCATTGGTTTAGTAAGACAATTATTCAGTATTGTGAGATTCCATAGATTTCAATAAATTTAGCTAGACAGTTTGGTTTAGTGAGAACGTCTCGGGTTGTCCGACGTCATGACTATTAATTAGTTCTCAGAGTGAAAGTTCAGGCCGAAAAGTGATCGTAATTCGTAGTTACCTTGTATGATGGAATAAGACAGACACTGGTAGTTTGCCAAATGACAGCTATGTGGGATTACTACCATGTAACGCACAAGCTGTCCGTTATTCAAACAAGCATTTGGAAGGTATTTTTGTAAAATGTAGGGAATAAATAATCAACAATAGTTATTAAATGGAATAAAACAATAAACCTCTTTTTCTTCAAGCAATGCCATTTGTTGATAATGTCACTACTTGCTGTAATGAGAAGCAAGCCAATTTTCAATCCGTCATCACTCACACCATAAATAATATCCCATCCTCGGATTCGAACCTACGCTCTCGCGCTAAACTATTCTATCCGTCCCCAGGAAGAAGAGGCGGCTCCAGTCTTTTCTGATTATTCGACGCGTCCTGCCGGGTGACGCCGGATCGTACCAGTGCAGAGCGAAAAACCGAGCCGGCGAGAGCTCAAAGCGAGCCCGGGTGGCCGTATTCCAGAGGCGGGTACGACCGCCGCCGACTCCTAAACCGACCGGACCTGACAAACCAAAACCACGTGAGTCTTGGGGTGTGGGATGCGTTGGTTGTTTGGCATGATCATAAAATAAGCAGGGAATGGTGATTTCATTGTTGCATAATGATCATGTCATTGAATGTTTACCTTTTTATAATACAAAAAAATTACAAAAGTAACAGAAATGCTGGTAGTATTGTTTTGCTTTTGTCGCGTTAGGTCATTTCAGTTTATTTAAACCAAAATGGGCGTTGATATGATAGGATAAGGAGAAAGATTAAGCTGGAATGATGTGGTTAACTGACCTGTGTGACCCTGCCCACTCCCTATGTGGGGTAGGGAGGGAAAGGTCCCGGATGCCTCTTGGCTGCTTCCCAAGCCCAAAATGACGCTTCATCTGGATTCGTCTGACGTGTCGTCAATTGATGAACTAACGTCAATTTCCGTTGCCAATAACTCAAACGAAAAATCAGTCAGTCCCTTTGGTGACAGGTGGCGAAATGGAACGCGATGATTGGTAGAGCATTTGACGTCAAAGTTTTCACCGAGGGATGGTTTTTACAACATGGCTTTTATGAAACTTATGAAAATAAAAATGGGATTGGTGCCTAGATCATCTAAAAAGTGTAATCTGTGCGATTTCTTTATATCAGTTCATTCAAACAGCATGACAGAAAATGTTTTATGCGGTGTTTTATCAAACCCAGCACGCTGATTGGCTGGATCTTGTGACGTCACGTGTGTGTGCGTTTGTTTCACAGCGGACTCGTGGCGAGCAGCTGAAGCGTGCGACATACCGTCGTACTGCCTCAATGGCGGCTCCTGTACGCTCTATAGAAGTGTCATGGAGTACGTTTGCCAGTGAGTATGTTTTGATTGTAAACACTAAACAGTGCTTAAAACGAAAATAGGAAGCTAGAGATCAGAAACAAACATGGAATATGCTCAGCTGCTGTGTTTTTATGCATGGGATCCTACAAGACTTTTAAGTGTGCACTTTTGGTTAATATCATGTGATCACAATATGGCTGAACTCAAATTATTATTATTCTATCTTTAATAAAACTTTGCATCAACAGCAGTTGTTTGGAATCCACTCACATCATACAGTATTGCAGTGTGAATTAGGTATTTCTCATACCTAAATCATTTGCATTAGCTACAAGCCTTATCCGTTCCTCATCACCGTTTATTTACCGTGAGTGGTTAAAATTTGTATTTTGATTCTTACAGTATCCGATAAAGTGCAAAATCCTTACTTCGTCTAACGTGTTCATGATTTTTCGCAGATGCGCAGAGGGCTTCAAGGGCAAACGATGTGAAAGAAAAACTGTGTACGCGATTAAACGTAAGTACTGGTGCCTGGTGAGGGTGATAATAATAAGCATGGCAAACGGGATTAAAGGAAAATGCTGCGTAAAAAGTACTAGCCTAACGCAAACGTAATAACAACTTTCTTCCCTTCTGCCTCCCTCTCTCTCTCTCTCTCTCTCTCTCTCTCTCTCTCTCTCTCTCTCTCTCTCTCTCTCTCTCTCTCTCTCTCTCTCTCTCTCTCTCTCTCTCTCCTTCTCTCTCTCTCTCTTCTCTCTCTCTTCTCTCTCTCTCTCCCTCTCTCTCTCTCTCTCTGCACTGTTTTATCTGAGTTTCCTTCCCTCTTCTTCCTTCTGTCGCTACGTTTCTCCTACTTTCTCATACCTATCTATGCTACTCTTTCTTTTTTCTTTTGCCTCAATATTTTTACTGTTTTCTACAACTTTGATAAATTCCATTACTCTTAAATCTTTCGCTCAGCAACTACAATGCATACGTTTTGAACCTAATTATAATTGTTTTCTGCATTGGCATTTTTCTCGTAAACTGCATTCCTTATATAAACGTGTTTGCTTTGATGCAATTGTATCTTTTTTATAAATCATTCTGGCAATGCCTCATTCATACATAGAAGTGCAACACAGGCTGTTCACAGCACTATTATAGCTCACTGTATTGTCAACCACAAGGACCCATCGGATGTTAAAATGGAGCCTTTTTTCTTACCACAAAAAGTCACGTCACTGTCCGTCAAACCTGCATCTAAGTCGTGTTAAACTATATCGAACACCCATCATTTTCAAAATAATGCAAGCTCCTCTTTGACTATGTACAAATAGTGAATCTTATCGTGTCCAGAAGGCTGATGATAGGCAGTGAAGTATGAGAGAGACATGTTCTTCCACGTATCTTGCAATACTGTGCTGATGAGACCAGTGAAATGTTTTATCTGAAAACCGGTAGGTATGAGGGAAGAGGTGCATATGCGTAAAATCAGCCCATGCCGTATATTTACATGCTGCTAGATGGAGGGAGAGGAACCAACAATGGTCCACTCAGGTAATAACAGTTGATCATACATTTGATCGTATAACTGATCGTTGGAATACAGTGTTTAACGTTAAATTGCTGCTCTTTTTTTTTGGTTAGCGAGGCCGATTTTGTCAAGATTTTTGTGATAATATTGAGAACAAAGTGCGAGGTTTGGCGTTCAACGAGCTTACTTACATCTTTCATTAGTCGTAAATCGTAAGAAAAATCGTGAAATCTGACTACTTGTTTTCTATTGCGGTTACGTCATGTAAACTATAATGTGAATAGCTGGCATATTGGATCGCTGTTTTCCAACCCAGTAAGTGGGCTCAGATGGTGTTTGCAGTTTGCGTTTGCAGTCCTTAAGTTCGCGTAAATCTATTATAAAAATGTCTTCGCTCATATTATCTTTCTATCTTGTTTGACTTTTGAGAAAAGAAGAGCTTTTTGCAGATATGCTTATTCACTACCCTCATGGGGGGCATAATTATGTCCCCTTAACTCATTTCTTCGTAAAAGGCAGTGTGCCCGTCACAGCTGACATTTATGCCCTGTTTGTGCGTCTGTCTGTGTGTATGTGCGCACAGTACTGTCACGGGGCCACACCTTAGGCCCGGCGGCCACTAGACGTATTCTGGCCGGTTATTGGGGCTAACGACCGTGAGTTCGAATCCCACCGACGGCGCATGCTTTTCACGTTGTGGTTGATGTGTAGATCGCCGGCGGCCAAAGCGTCGAATGCGATAGGTGTTAGATAAACTTGTAGATTGTTTTGGTGTGACAGAGCTTTACATGTAACCAGCTGGTGTTTGGTTGTTTGTGCGCTATTGTAATTAACCGTGACTTTTGAGTTCAAGCCAGCCAGTAGAGCGGTTTGACTAGTTTTTGTTTGATAGCATTGCCTCTTATTATTTGTTCTAAGAGACGGCCAATTTTGGCTCGTTTGGTAGCAACAGTGCTTACTTTTCCTGGAACCCAACGAACCACATCGTTTTTAGTTGGCATGCATATTCCCGTGGTCTTTTTTCGAGGTTTTGCCTAGTTGTTCTAGACCAGATATTTGTAGATTAATTTTTGTTGGAGCAGCTTGCTCAGTTTACCTGTCAATAGTGATTGTGATCGCTTTTACATTTCGTAAAAGTAGAAAGCAATACACACAACACATATTTCAGGATAACTTGAGCGGCTCTCTTACATAAAATATCGTTTTGCACACGCAATAAATATTATGTAGGGCTTGGGTATAATTACCAGCTATATACATAAGCAATTTCCCACACCCGATCTATGTGTGAAACAGAAACATATTTTTTACTCGAATGAATTGACTGATCTTCAAAAATCTTTCGGGATAGGGTAGGGTGGGGCAAAGCGCCCACCCTAACTTTCCAGCCCCAGTATCTCTTTATCTTACAAATTTGAAAGACAACTAGGCAGCTGATCTGGTAGCTCATTACCTTGGCTTTCTTCGAATAACACATCAGAAACAAGTGGCATGCATGGTTTTTTAGATATGCCATCCGAATTGAGAGGACTACAAATCGGGCGTTTTGCCCCACCCATGGGGCATAACGCCCATATGAGTGGGGCATAACGCCCAGTCCTGAACGTTTCATTACACGCTCGGTACTCTGACAAAAGAATGCAGTATTTATCCATTCTCATTTTGTTTGACTTTAAATCGATAGATTACACCACTAAACACATCTTGAACACTGTTGTTACCACCCCACTCCTCATTCAGTCAACGGGCTGTCACCGCCTTGGTGAGCGGAGATTAGTTCGTGCGAATAAATTGTTCCAGGCGATACTAACCAGTATATTGCATATTTCATAAGAATCCTGAGCATTAGAAACGTATCCCGACACTCACTTTCAGCCAAAAATGCTCGCAAATACCCGTACTGTATAACTCCCATTAGGGGTAAAACGCCCATGATGGGCGTTCTGCCCCACACCAAAGTGGGCGTATTACCCCAACAGCACATTCAAAACGAAGTCCACCAAAATTAAGCGTGTGACGATTGTGTTGCAAACCAGTAAATGCTCAAAACATAGCTTAAATCCGCAAGTTCTACGTAGCTAAATTTCATTGCCTACTTTAATCTCTATCAGACAAAGTTTTTAGTAGTATGGAAACATGTAATATCTAAAAATTGTCTGAAATAAACTAATCTTTATCTTACGTCCAGAACAACCCACTTGTAGAACCGAAAAAGGGGGCAAAAGTAGATTCCTGCTCGTTCTTGAAAATGGCTATCGAGAATTCTTCAAAAAGTCGAGCATTTCATAAAAAAGAGGGGTGGGCGTTTGACCCGCCCTGGGCGCTTTGCCCCACTCTACCCTATGTCCTAGGTTGGTTAACACTTTTACTTAGACCTCGTGTCTGGGCCATAAATTAATTTGTATTGCATAGTCTTCGCAGAGACAAAATAGGATTAACGACCGTCGTATACGCACAACAACGCCTGAGTAAAAAAAAAAAAACAATCACGTTTCACAGGACTTCATCCCAAATAACTAAACCAACTCTACATTCTCACGTCAAACCCTCAACTCCACTCAACAACTATTTACACCAAACACACCTAACGCCTGCCACTAACCCGCCTAACCCCAGCTAACCTGCTAACTTCTGCACGCGCATGCGCACAATGCATGTTCCAGAGCGTCCGGACGAGCCGCTGCTGAAGGCGGGCCAGTTTCAGCCACTGGTGCTGGTTCTGGGCGGGCTATCCGTGCTGCTGCTGCTGCTTCTACTGATTGCTGTACTCTGGCGACGCCGCAGCAGGTATTATGACGTCATTGGAGGAATCAGGAAAGATACAGATGTTTGACGTCATTAGAGGAATGATACAGTCGTTTGACGCCTTTGATGGAAGGACGATTATTTCAATTATAACGTTTGGTTCATTTAATATTTATTAGAGCTTTACCGTTTGTTTTGGCATTATATATAAATGATTAAAAAATACTCATAATTTATTTCCATCTTGTTTAACTTGTGACAAAAGAAGAGCTTTTTTGTAATGTGCCTAGAGTCACTTCCCTTTCCACAAAAGTTAAAGCTGTTTTTCTGGAAGACAAGCGGCCCCCATGCCTGTAAATTTCGCCTTATCTATGTATTTTTAATAACATTTTTCTTCTTTTCTTCTGTCGCCTCAGACCGCGGGGTCGAGCCCAATGCAGAAACGGTGCGGTCGCCATGGCAACGGGAAACGGTACGGTCGCCATGGCAACAGACGAAGCCTCGAAGCCGGCGGAGGCGGCACCGACGTCGATGAGACGGCCACCTCAGCTGCCGGCGGGCCGAAGCGAACAGGTCAGCGCGCAGGTTGTCATGACAACAGTTCTTTTTTATTTCGCGTGCTCTTTTTCTTGAGCCTAATTCACCATTTGATAATTTCTTGCGGCTAATTTTATTACTGTTAACTAACTTTGAAAATGAAGAGAGGTTTTCCCAGTACCATTGCATCGTTCTTCTTTGTCGCTTTGACTAGTCGTTTCAGCCCTTTCAGCTTTGTCTTTTCAATGCTCCCCTATCTAGTGTTGTTCGGAAAATTGCGTCACATCGTCACATAATTACGAGGACACGGACATTTCTCTCCAACCGCTCAATTGTTTAAATCGAAGCGTTTCATTGTATGTATAAAATTGTCGTTACGTTTCCCTCAAGTCGCTTCTATCGTCTCACTGTTTCTGACACCCCTCTGATCATAGGCGGCGGAACGGGGAGGGCACCGGGGCACCATGCCCCTTTGATTTTGGCATTTTAACATTAGTCCTTTGGGCGTTGCATGGAAAGAATGGGACCAAATGTCGGCAGTGCCCCCTTTAACTGAAGGTGTTCCGCCGCTACTGCCTCTGATGGTGGTTTTGCCCGCAGGTTCCCGCCGCTGGTCCCCGGGAACCCATTCTGTCCCTCAACCCCCCCCCCCTGAAATCCGTTTCATCCCCGCAGATCCCGGCCGCTGTTTTCAAGGTTCTGACTTCTGAGGTCACATACTGTCCCTGGCACCCGTCTAACGGCTGTTGTACCTCCAGGTCACTTACTGTTGTTTCGTCTGCAGGTCCCTAGGTCGCATACTGCTGGTCCTCCCGGTCCCCATGTTACTCTGAACCCGACTCCCGCCTATCGACTGTTGTTCCCTCATCATTTCACGTATGTAGGTACTGTCCCGTCTAACGGCTGCTGTTCCCCAGTTCACATCCTACCCCTGACACCCGTCTAACGGCTGTTGTTCCCTTAGTTCACATCCTGCCCCTGACACCCGTCTAACGGCTGCTGTTCCCTGAGTTCACATACTGCCCCTGACGCCCGTCTAACGGCTGTTGAAGCCCCCGGATAACACACTGTCGTTTTGTCCCGGCAGGTCCCGGCTGCCACTCCGGTCAGTCGTCCCAGCGACCTCTCGCCGCCTCCGTCGCCGCCGTCGGAAACGACGAAACTGTCCTCGTCGTCTTCGACGGACTTACGTCGGGCGCCCCCCGCCGGCTCCGATGTCGCCCGCGACGGGGCTGTGTCGCTACCAACGCAAAAGAGTGTGAAGGAACTGGATGTCCTTCTGCAAACTCTAGACCTGGTGACCGGCCCTGATGAGTCAATACCAAAGAGGCTTGCTTAGTCATTAGGCCATGCGTGAGACGAGGTGGTAGTGGTGGTTGAAGCACGTTCGCAGGACCAAGGATATTTCTATTTTGAATTCCATGACTAAGTGAATGGGAAGTTCGACGCACGGTGATGCGTACCGCAAGTGATATTTATTAGTTGAAAGTGAGAGGTGTGAAGTGAAGGGAAGGAAGTTTGCGGAAGATTGTGTGAGATGAGTATTTTTAGTGAGTGGTGAAATGCTAGAGTTGTGGGTGGTATGGCCGGGTGGGCCAAACCATTGACGGTGTCTTGCAGGGATGTGATGTTGGCCTCATGTTTTTTGGTGTCTGAAATATCTTTTCGCTGGAAGATATTTTCCTATATTTGTACAAAGTTCATTTGAATGCGGCGTGGCTCCTAGACGGCCTGGCGCGGATGCAACGCGCTAGTAGCGCCTCTGGCGGCGAGAACGCCAACTACTGGTTGCGTTGTTCGCCGCGATGTGGATCTAGTCACCAATGTCCTCGATAATTGATATATCTGTGCCAGGGCCGAGAATCTGGCAACTCTCGCATCTGGCATCGCCGCGGCCGGTCGCTGCGAGCACTGTTCACTTCGGGTTCGATGAATCGAACGCGTGTGCCAGCCAGAGGCTGAGAAAGTTTCCTATGTCACGTGACCATGTCGGTTTTGTTTTCTTCTTCTGCCAGTCGCGGGCCTCAGCTACCGTTCGGTACTAAAACTATAATATTTTGTTGCTCAATGTGTTGTGCCGTATGGTCGGTGATGTTATGACGTCACCGACAGAGCGCCTGTATATATTCGCATGCCTGTATGTCTGTCTTTGAGCAGGTCTTTGAATCAGACCGATTAATAATGTACTGATGCAGCTAATACTATATTGTTGTTGTGAAGGTGCCGTCTTGTCTTTGTGGGTAGTGGTCGCCAGCCTCTCTTACCCCCACTCCTCTCTCTCTCTCTCTCTCTCTCTATCTCTCTCCCTCTCTCCTTCTCTCGCTCTCTTTTTTTGTATTATTTTCTTCACAAACAGAAACACGAATTTGATTTCCCCGTCTTCTTACACTCGAATCAAACACTCAACAGAGGATGCAGAATGATGGTGACACTCCAGCACACTGGTAACGGGAGAGAAGAGCGAGAGAGAGAGAGAGAGAGAGAGAGAGAGAGAGAGAGAGAGAGAGAGAGAGAGAGAGAGAGAGAGAGAGAGAGAGAGAGGCAGAGAGATGGAGAGAGATACCTATAGGGTAAGGAGAGGGAAAGAAAGAGGCAGGGATAGAGAAAGAGAGTGGGAGAGGAGGGAGAAGAGAGAAATGCGCTCCGCAATACGCCATCATTTTTGTGCCCCGACCTTGTCCCTACCTACCGCAACTTAAACCCGTCGTTCCTCGCAGTAACAAATCTTACCATGTCTTACTCTTACTTCTCCTCACCACTATTCAGTCCCATGTTACCCCAAAGTGTTCCACCCTATGTTATACCGCCCCACTACACCTTCCTAACCCCATGTTACCCCACATTTTCCCTATCCCTTCTATTCTAAGTTACCCCACTCCATCGCTCATGCCCCGTGTTACCTCACTCTATTCTACCCTCCATACATCACCCAATTTACCTTCTTACTCCATTCCTCCACAAACACCCCTCCACTCTGTTACTCTGTCCCCACCTCCATCTGCGTTATCCTATCCCACCATTAATAGCACCCCACGTAACCCCAACCGTTATCCCCTCCCTGTGTTACACTGCCCACCTCTACCTACTCTGCATTATCCTAGTTCACCCTTATTACCACATGCTATCCCCACCCTTATCTCTACTCTGTGAGACTCTGCCTCATCCTTATTACCCAATATTACCCCCGCCCCACCCCACCTCTACTCTGCCTACCCTGTCTCATCCTTATAACTCCATGTTTATACCCCGTCCCACTCAACTTTTACCCCATGTTATCCCCACCCCATCCTATCCTGCCCAATCCTGTCATCTATTTATGTGTTACGTCTGTATTGTCGAACTAAGTAATGGCAGTTCCATTTGCTATCGTAATAAATGTGCATATTCTTTACATCCTGTGTGATAGTCTTTATCGGTGGCCCCCTCCCCCCTCCACTTAATACCGATAACACATTGCAGGAGTCAGACCGTATTTTGCCACGATCTTCCGGCTTAACCGATAGAATAATCGCATACCAGCACCATTAGTGGAACAGTAGTTGAGAAGATATTGATTTGGTGGGTTGAGAGTGTATTACGAATCAGTAATATGTGTGCTTCTTGTAGGTGAATTAAGCATTTTGGTGTTTGTGTAATGTTAATAGCTCACTGTCTCCCTGCACGGAACTTTTGTTCTAATTCTAGAACGGTTCCGGGACTTGATAATTAGTCAATAGGAACTCGTAAGGCGCACACGCGCAATGTTTTACGAGCCAATCATTAAAAAAGAAAAATAGGGTGAAGTCGTATAAGAGTACGCACTTAGTGGATTTTTTGCTCTCATTTGTTAAATATTTGAAAGAAAGAAATCGCAAATATAGAATATCAAAGTTCATTGAATTCGCCATCAACCCATGAGGCAACGATCCTTCACCGTAAATGGAAGTGGTCTAAAACTGACACCGCACCAGAAGCATGACTGCACTGGGCACCTGTAACACCATGTAGGATGATCAATACTTGTAACAATTCATAAATAGTAGGTAGCTTAAAGTTCTATTACATTTACCTCCTGGTTGCTGGTGTACTCAAAATAGATACTATTTGTCTTTTTCCATCAAAACCTTTATCTGCATGCAACATCTTTGGTACCAGACAAAGTAGAACACTGCTAAAAATGCTTGCAATGAATCTTATAAAAATGCATTGAATTTATATGATCATTCTCAGCAGCATGTATCATCTTTCAATGCCTTTCTCAAAGGGCAGGTCAATTTCCTATATTGATATGCCCACAAACTTATACAGGTAAATTACTTCATATGGGCAATAGCCGCAATACAAGATCCAGCTATGAGTTAAGTAAGACTATTTATATTCTTAGTCATGCTCACCAAAAAAAAAATGTCTGGAAACGTGTTACATCCATGGCAAATCCATGGAATTACCGTTTGGTGTCGGTCTATCTTCGGCTTCTCGCCTCTCTTCGGCTACGTCAATTGAAGCCTTTCTAAGTCTCCTGTCCTTTGTTAACTCGCCTTTCCATGTTTGTGACACTTGCTGAATATAAATTCACAACCCATCTGAGCAAAATTCAAATCAATTGCTATCAAATTCACCGAAATTCAGTCCCTCGAACCGACACGGACTCCACACAGTGCAAAACACAGTGGCGCATTCGCCGCCACAGTTTCTGTGTCCAAAGAAGGCAGTGCTGCCACCTGGTGAGGAAATAAGCCGAACATCCCCATTGGTAGCCGTTTCTGAGTTATCTGCGAAAAACCACGGAGGCCCTTTACCCCCCTCCCCCAATGGGTCGCGGGGTAAACGCCGCATCCTTGCCTGAGTTAACTACAAGAAAGAGCACTTAATATGTATTAACCCGCGCCCCACTGGGGGGGGCTATTTATAGCCCCCCTCCCGTTTTTCTGCAATACCTTCCAAACCGCTTGACGTATCGACGCCAAACTTTCAGTACCTTCGGCTGCATCAATTTGACACCTTGTGTCAAAATTTGAACTTCGTATCTACCATAGGTCGGCCGGAAATGACGTCAGAGTGACGTCATGTTCGGCCGATTTCGACGCAAAACATTGAACCACGGCAATCGCTCCCAAGAGCTCAGTTTTTAAGCTAGATCCAATTTCTTTGCATGAGAGTACTCAGAATAGACTGCGCTATCAAACTGCTATCTCGGATTTTCGAAATGTTGAAAATGTCGAAAATTGTATATAATAAAATTCAAAATTTATATTTTTACATTTTTTTCAATTTTTTTTTTTTACTTTTCCAAAAAAAACGAAATATATGTGATAGAACGCTTTATTATGACTAACTCTAGCAAGTTTTAGCTAAATATCTTCAAAAATGGCCAAGTTATACGCATTATTGCAAAAAATTAACAATTATTAATTTTTCAAATCAATTTTTCAGCACGAATTTGACATCGTACGCCAATATAAATAGCACCATCGTGTTTCTGAGCTCAAACTGCATTCAATAGATACCTTTTTTTGTTGAAAAATTATAGCTTCGAAATTTGACCTTTTTTGACCTGAAAGTGACCTGGCCTAAGCTAAATTTGACTCAAAATGACCTCGAATGACACAAACGACATCAAATTCGAAATGTTTGGCCTAAATGGACCATAAAACATGTGTCACGTGACCGACGGATGATATAATATTTTCGTGACCTGTGATGACCTGACCTTGACCTGAAAAACAAAGTACAAGTTTGGTACCCTCAGAGTATCTAGAGCATCTGTTCACGAGTGTGTGAACCAAAAATGAGCCTGATTTGACTTGTAAGACGGCGGCCAGAGCCCAAAACGTGAAGAAGCCAAAATGCTAATAATTTTTACTTTGACCTGACCTGTGACGTCATCAGTGACCTCGAGGTCAATGAAATTAGGTTTCGCTTGACAGTTTTTCCGGAGCTATCAGACGCCGTTTGAATTTTGATGATCGGCCCAGTAGTTTCGGAGTTAGGAGGGGGGCTATGAATAGCCCCCCCCCCCCCAGTGTTATACGCAGACCCCAGTGGGGCGCGGGTTAAAATGTACACATCTTCAGTGCAAACATCACCGCCACCACCGCCACCACCACCACCACCATCAGTACTATGGCGGCCCACTTCCAGCAAGCAGACACTCCTCCACTCGAACCTGTCTCATTCTGACCACTGGGACGTTTTTCGTCAGAGATGACACCTTCGCTGGTTTCTTCACCGCTCACGCCGCTCTCCACTACCTCTTCTGCGTCGTCTGGGTACGGGCACGACTCGTCTTCGACTGCCGTTGTCAATTGAGGTTCCCCGTTCTTATCACAGCCGCTGCTGCTTTCACGCAGACTTTGGTACAGTTGACGAATCTCCCAGTATAGCGCCTGCTGATCCGTAACTCCCAGAATCCTGCGGGCCCACTGCTCTGTCGGGCATTTCTCTTCGTCAGACAGCTGGATGTGAAGCTTAGAGGCATCCACGCAGAGGCAGCGTTGGAAAGACAGCGATCCGGGCTCGGCGACACCAACTTCTAGGGACTCCAGGCTTACTGTAGGGACACTCTGCCGCACCGCCCGTACGTCTTTGAATGCGTCAGTGCGAAGACGTCCGATGCTTACATCCTTGATTGCAAAAGTTTTCTTGCAAGTGACCGAAAGACTTTTGGAGCTTAGGGTGTCGATCTTGGAATTTTTGACGATGAAGTCCTTGGCCTGCACCTGAAAACCATGCTTATTCACTTTTCCAACCAGGGTTTTTTGATCTAGTTTGATGTTTGTGATATTTCCGGAGAACGCCTGCGACTTCACAGTTCCCAGCGTGCTGTTTGTGATGTGGACTCCACAATCTAGGCCGTTGCCGTGCTCCCCAACGCTATTGAAACATCGCGTTTTGACATCCAGTATTGTGACCTTATTCAACTCCAGTGAGTGGATTTTGTTTTCAAAAGTTCCCATGTGACATTGTGGCATGCTAACGTTTTCTAGAAGGAGATCTCTGATGCGGGCGTCAAACGCCTTTGAGGCCAGCGAGAGGGTTGCGATGTTACTGATCCTGACAGTGAGCCCTTCGTCCGACTCCGAAGTCGCATAGCTGAGTCCTCTGGAAGCGATGTTGAGCTCTTTGATTTCCTCGAATATGATCGTCGTCTGTTCAGGCTCGGTTTGCCATTTGCCTGTCAAACCATGCTCGTCAACGTTCAATGACTCAACCCTTCTGGCGATGAAAATGCGAAGCACATTTTTGGGATGCAGACTCATCCCTTTTCTTCCGATGATAACAGCTCCAATGTCGCTCACGGTGAAGTGTATCAGTGAGTTCAGACGATGGAAAGAGTGTCCTCCGATGGTCAAGTTGGACACTTTGGAGATGCTTAGAGAAGTGGTGCCGGCCGGGATGGAGTCGGGCGTCAGTATCATCTGAAACCGTACAAACCGAAACAGCCCATCAGACGAATGGTTTTATCCTCACATGCTTATTACTGGTGGAACTACGAGAACGGAACATTTTGGACATTATAATTGTTCCAGCAGCCTCAAAATTGACAAAATGTGGACGTTTTCCTTGCATTAGCCCTAATGGTGGGCTCTCTAGACTACGTTTAGATATCTCAAAAGCTAAATGCCTGATCTTTAATGGGACAAACGTCTTTTGATTGCTTTCATCGTTAACTTTCAGAAATCAGATTGACTATAAAAGGTCAAAATGGGGTTCCTGGAAGCAAAAAAAAAATAACGATTCACACCTCATTACTAAAAAGCTATAACTTCTTTTTTTTACCGATTTTGAGGAAACTTTAGGGGACCCTTCTTTATGAACTGGGCCTTCATATATATTCCAGTATTTTGGATATTTCAAAAATCATAGGCGAATTCAGGTAAGCTAACTTGGGATGATGTTTTTTGTCTTAATAGGTCATGTGTCTTTTGACATGATGTGTGATATATCATGTGAAATATGCAACGTGAGCACAAAATGCACGATTTCGTTAAGCAAAGGCGAATTCAGGCACGCTAAGACGGGGACAGTACATTGATAGTACATTTACAGTACATTCTCAGGTACCTGGATCCGCCTATTCAAACATTTTCATTGTATCATCTGAAACCGTACAAACCGAAACAGCCCATCAGACGAATGGTTTTATCCTCACATGCTTATTACTGCAATTTGAACAATAATGAAGGATTGTGGTCCGGGTCGGACGTGTTTGGAAGTGCTCTATGGTTTTGCATATTTTTGCGGTCCTATTCCGCCTTGTGATATGTGCTTAATATCATACAGCTCCTAATTTAACGTAGATTAAGATGGGTCTACTCGCATCTAATTTAATATGAAAAACACCCTATTATAAGCTTGTAAAGTTTGATAATTTTTGACCCAGTTACCGAATTTTCGAATTTCCGCTCAGCGACTTTGCTCTTGATTTTCTTCAGTGACTCTCGTGCTAATTTTGGACACTTCTCTCTCGGAATACGTGTAAGTCGAATCACTGCGATTCTGCGGTGCTTTGAATTAGTTCATTGGCCTAGTTTAGCCATGGAAGAGACAGCTCCGAAAAGAGTGGAAACACAGGAGCCGGTAAGCATCTATGCTAGCCACAATTTAGAGTCTAGTGGTCAGGCTCTGACTCCTCTAGACGTCCTACTCCCCGCCCAGGCCTCTTCCGCTGAGAAGGCGGCCATCTTATCGGCGCCAAACGATATCTTTTCCGGTCGGTATGAGCCCGCCAAGGTCTGTGGAGTTTTGTTGACTCTAGAGGAGAGCGACCTGCGAAAACTGAGAGAGCAGCTGTACACCGCGCTGTGCTCCGCCATGCCTGCCGTCGCAGGGCGTCAGCTCAGCCGCCGGGTGTCGGGCAACACCAGCGCTCTCGCTGAGGACTGTTGGGCCCTCGGGTACTCTGTGGCTCAGGGTGTGCTGACCCAACGCGCAGACAGCAACACTCTGAAGTCGGCCGGCCGTGATCCGCTGCCTCCTCCCGGTCCGATTCGTCCGCCTTCTACTGATTCGTCAAGTGGCTCTGAAGCAACGGCTTCAATGGAGGCAATCATTGCCATGCAGCTCAGCCTTGAGCGGGAGGTGGCCGAGCTCAGGCGCAACAAGTCCAGCGTTGATACTCGCCTCCGTTTCATGGAGACAGAGACTGCTAGACTGCGCGAAGAATGCACGGCACGCGATACACGCATTGCCGAACTAGTGGCATTGGTGGAGAATCTTCTTGCCCGGGATGTGGTTTTACCACCCCAGCGCACTGCAGGTGATGATCACGCGGCTGGAGAAGCCCAGCCACAGAACAGGTCCTCCCCAAACACCGCCGCGTCTCACGCTAGCGGGGCTCCTGAGCCTCACCCGGAGGCCAGTCTGGCAGCGGACATTGCTGCTGGTATTGACCTCCGTGCACTGGGTGGCGCTATCGCGGACGCGCTGCAGTGGCGCGTTGGCGACTCCGACGCCGACAGCGAGCCGGATCTGCCTGCGCCAACGACTGGTCATCCGAGCGGTCAGCACGGTCGTGCCGGTCACTCCGGCCGTGCACTGGGTGTAGCCGTGGGTGTTCAGCATGTCGCAACCGATGCTGATCAGCCTGAGGAGGAACTTCGTGCGACTGGTTCTGCACGCCCTACTTCAGTGACAGGTGCTGGGACGGCATCGGCTCTGGTGATGAGCTCTGCAACCCGTTTTAAGCCTCGTAAGAGGTTTATGCTGGATGGCTTCCGACCTGATGTCTCTGACCGAGACGTGCTCGGTTTGGTGCATGGAGCTGTTCATATTTTGCACAGCCTCCACCAGCTGCCACGTCACGGCACAGATGGCGCACCTAAAGCGTACATCATCGAAGTTAACGCTGATGAGGCAGGCCGTGTTATGGACCCGTGTAACTGGCCTGCTGGCCTCACAGTTCGTACACATCCACTGAATCGGCGGCGTCGCAGGCGTGCTTTTCGTACCTCAGAGCCGACCTTCTCCGACCGCAGCCCCGCAGCCTGGCCGCCGGCGGGGCCTGTCCGTCATCAGATCCACGAGGAGGACGGAGGACTGCGCAGAGCCGCCGCCTCTACAGCAGCTCACCAGCGCCAACATACGTACGCGGACGCTGTCACTGGATACGGACAGGAGCACGGCCAGTGGCAAGTTGCGAGGAACCGCCGTAACCGAGGACAGCACCACATCGGCAACAACGGCAACAACAGAGGCCACGCACAGCAGACGTACTGGGACCAGCGGCCCGGTAATGGAGAACTGCAGCGCCGGCAGCAGTCTCACTATAGGCGCATATAATTGCGAGGGCTTCCTCTCAGCAGCGCATTACATCGCTGATGAATTACTGTCCCAGTGCGACATTCTATTTCTGGCAGAAGTCTGGCTATCACGTGCTGAGGAATCATACCTGCCCACCATTTTGTCGTCTCTAGAACCTGCTGATTTTTACTGCGTGCAGCAGTTTGCCATGGAGATACCCCCGCGTGCCGGAGAGGGCCGGCCGCGGGGTGGAGTGGCTCTGATCTGCCGCCGTCGCCCAGGTCTCAGTTACCGCTCTGTGGACTGTGGTGATTCGCGCCTCTGTGGTGTCACCGTTATTGCTGACGACCGCCCGCTACTCAGCGTTGTGGGGTGCTACATGCCCTACTGGGACTCGTCCGGCGCTAATACAGGTGAATATGCTGACGTCACGGGGAAATTGTCCGCAATTCTCTCCTCTCTTCGGCCGAGCGCGCCCGTAGTGCTGCTCGGCGACTTCAATTGTGCTTTATGCCCGCTGCCTCGAGAATCTCGTCCATCCACCTGGCACCGCCTTCGAGGCTACACGCCGAACAGTATGGCCATGCAGGAGCTCCTGGATGATCATGAATTATCGGTTGCTGAGTTCAATTTTAACCAACCGATTAGTTATACATACTCACGCGCTGGCAATCGGTCACACATTGACCATGTCGCTGTGCCCAAACTTCTCATGCCGCAAGTGCTAAGCTGCAAGATTGTGCCTCCAGATCTGAACAACCTGAGTCCTCATCTGCCGCTCATCTGCAGGCTGGCCGTCTCTGCCCCTGCTAGCAGGAACCCACTACTGCATCAGGATGTCGGCCTTGCAAAGCATCCAGACATCCTCGATTGGAGCTGTCCTAAAAAGAACGAAACTTACAGAGCAGTACTGAGCGGGCTGCTGTCTGAAGTTCTTCCAGCCTGCGACGACTCCCTTGATGCCCTTGACGCAGCCATTTCGCAATGCGCCCATGATGCTGCTCGCATCGCCGAATGCTCGAAGCCACGCCGTTCGCCAAAGTCTTGGTGGACTGCAAGCGCTGCAGCGGCTCGGGATCGCTCTCGCTTCTGGTACCGACTCTGGGTCTGTGCCGGTCGCCCAGATTCAGCTCCTGTCGCCGACTGCTACCGTGAAGCTAGACGATCGTATCGTCACGCACGCCGTAAGGCCGCCACCTCACACATCGAGAAGCAGGCGCGGCTACTCCGTCTTCTGCGTCGTGATCGCAAGCTGAACAAGTTCTGGCACCGCGTCCAGCTGGCCCGGCGAGGCGGCCTTGCGGTCGGCTCTGCCTGCTCTGTGGTTGATTTCTATACCCACTTCAAGACTGTCCACCACGACAGCCGGGAGCAGCTCAGCGACGAGCAGCGGCTCATTGCTGACGCTGTCGAAGCTCGTGTCTTAGGAGCTCGTGCGGAGATCACCCACCGAACTGTAACGCCAGATGAGGTCACTCATCTGCTGAACCGCCTTCATCCTGGCAAGGCACCTGGTGTGGATGGAGTGTCAGCTGAGCACTTGATGTTCGGCTCTTCTCCCCCTCTTCGAGACGCGCTGGCTCGCCTATTGACTGGCTGCCTATCTTCCTGCACTGTCCCGGCTTCTTTCACCGAGAGTATAGTGGTGCCGCTTTTGAAGAATAGTCGTCTCGATCCCAGTTGTCTTGATAACTACCGGCCCATCTCAATCACAACGTGTGCTTCAAAGCTCCTGGAACTGCTGATTTTGGAGGAACTGCAGTCTTCTTTTCACCCGCACGACCTGCAGTTTGGCTTCATCCCTAATCGTGGCACAGCGGAAGCTTCTATGCTCGTCGAAGAGACCGTACATTATAACCGGCGCGCTGGTCTCCCTGTGTTCGCTGCCAACCTGGACGCACGCAAATGTTTTGACAAGATTTGGCATGACGGACTGTTTTACCGACTCACAGAACATATGAGCGTCAACTGCTGGCTCCTGATCGTCTACTGGTATCGGCATCTATCCGCCAGAGTTACATTTGGTGGCACCAGCTCCGAAACTTTTGAGGTTTTACGAGGAACCAGGCAAGGCGCTATCCTCTCGCCGACCTTTGCAAATGTGTTCTTGCGTCCATTATTGGCGACGCTGGACCGCAGCGGCGACGGCGCTTACTTTCATCAGCACCACGTGCCGGGAGTGTGTTATGCTGATGACCTGCTCCTACTGTCAACGAACGCCGCTCATCTCAGTGCACTATTGGTCCAGGTCGGTGACTTTGCGCGGGACTGGCGACTAGAATTCGTCCATCCAGACCATCAGAAGACAAAAAGCCACTGCATCGTCTTCGGAGGCGAGCTTCTGGCGCAGTCACCAACGTGGAAGCTAGCTGGCCAACCGCTCCAAATACGGCCTTATTCCGAGCACCTCGGCGTGACGCTCGACGCCCGCTCCACGGCTTCCCGACACGTCGACCAGCGTGTCAAAAGGGCTCGAGCTGCCTTTTATGGCCTAGCACCAGCTGGCATACTGGCCAAAAGCTTAAGCCCGGCTGACAAAGCTTACCTATGGAAGGCTGTTGTCCTCCCTACTTTGATGTACGGGTGTAGCACAGCTCCTCTTCGTCCATCCGAGGTGGACCGCCTGGATGCCCTTCAAGCCGGATGTGTGAAGGCGGCATTCGGGCTGCCCCGCTTCGCACATCACTCTGCCCTCCTGACGGCCGCTGGTTTGGCGCCGGTTCGAGAGTTGTTGAGAGGCGCAATATTCTCTGCTCTCAGGTCAGCGATGGTAGCGGAGCACCGCTTAAAACAGACCATGATCACCTCCCTAGCAAAGCTGGCCATGTGCCCCAGAGAACTTGAGGGCTCATTCCTCCTACAAGTGTTTGAAATGTACAACAGGGACTTTCGAGCAGTAATGGAGCTGGCGGCTGGTGGGCCCGTGGACCCTGACCGTGTGCGGGCTCCGCGGTTGGAGGACGGCTTGGCGGATAGCATTCGGCTGGTCCTTCAAGGAACATGTGAGGCATCCAGGCGCCTATTGAGGCTCCTCACGTGCTCACATTGAGCACCTATACCTGAGATACCAGCTTTTCAGGCTCCCATCATTTGTGACCACAAACATGTATATATTTGTATTTGTCGCTGTAAAAGCGGTGCATAATAAAGAATGATGATGATGATGATGTGAAATGACGTCACATAGTCTTTAGGTGCACATATATGACGGGTGGTGCCACATCACCAGTACAAACCTAAGCAAGCCGCTGCTTAGCGGCGAATGTCGGAACAGTCAAAGCTGGACCAAAATTATCCCCGATAAACTCGTCCTAGAGACGCCTCTGCGCAAGCTAGAAACTAAAGAATTTGACATAATGTGCTCAATGAATAGTAAAGAAAAGTCACTAAATTTCGAGCCTCTAGCTTAAGTGGCTCCCCGTCGAGAGCAAAAAAAAAGTACAGGTTGAGCCGATTCCCCCCCCCCCGGCCCCCACCAGTTATAAGATTAAAAGAAGAATGAACAATTTTTGCATGACAAAGGTCTTGAACTGCACTGCAGCGAATGACAAGCGAAAGAGAACTCTTCGGGAACCATCCTTTTTGGGGTGTGGGCCCACCTCCAAGGCATGCAAAGTCCTAGATCCGCCACCGAAATTATTGTAATGCTCCAGCACACCTTTTTTTCTTCGTATCAAACGTGGTGCAAGATAAGATGTGAAAACTATCCGTCGTATTTATTGTAATTAAGTTATCCTATGCTTTTATTTTGTTTAGATATTGCATAGTAAGGGACAACCCTTATCAGCTTACCCATTTGGTTGCGACTTCAGACTTGAAGTTTACCGACTCCACCGATAAATTATGAACCACTCAAGAGTCGTGGCCATACCTCCTCTGATTTTTAAAGTGTATGAAATTGTTAGTCCAGCGATGATTTGCTAAGGACATAAGTAATGTTTTTGATTGTTCCCTGAATCTCTTTTATTTGCTTTGCTGGGTTAGGCTCTTTTTGTCTGACGAGACTATTGCAGAGCCGGGAGTATGATGGAATTTGGGGAAGACATTGGTCGGGTGGGCACCCTGATGCTCCACCGGAGCTCCGCCCCTCACGCGCACAAGCTACCCATGGCTCCGCAAACGGTAGCCGCACCCGGCCATGGCCTGCTTCTGGAGAGGAGCCTGCCTACAGTTGGAGGAGTGCTCCTGGAGAGGGTCCTTGCGGGATCAAGACCACGCTCCAACCCGGATTACGAGTGTTTGACCTTTGAGTTGTGGAGAAAAAGGATTTGGCTGTCCTGAGGATGGAAAATGACGGAATGACCACCAACTTATCTTATGACTATGAGGTGTTCATGATGCTGGTAGGAGCATCATTATTAGGTTACAATTACTTGTCAAGTAAAGCAATTGCAGTTGAAATGCTGTTGCTCTCAATGCTCACCTCATCTAGTACCGGGCAGATGCAGTCAATCCGCTTAGCCTCGTCACAGTTGGGCACAGCAGTGCAGCACGAGAATCGGCAGATGGAAGTGTCTTTGCAGCCCAGTGTAGATGGTAAGAGTGACGTCACCACCAGCAACGTCATCAATGACGTCAGAAGACGGGAGGTGACCCTCACCGGTCCCATCTTCTTCCGTTTGCGTTGGATCCTGACTGGGCTTGCTCTGACTCTCAATATTGGGGAGATCGACAGTTGTACGGTCTTCTGCTGTCACGGCCTGAGTTCCCAGCTGCTAAAAAAAGCTCCCCTCGGCGGTCAGTGGGGTGCGCGAGGTGCGACCCCACTGACACCGAGCCGGCAACTGTTTGCGCCAGGAGCTGCCCATCCCTGCCGCCCGTCGGGTTTAGTCATTCAGGTGCGCGATAAACAATCAACGACTTCAAGTGATAGTCACGAAACCCGTTATCGGTAACATTCTGCAACTGCAACGCATCTGCTAGGGCTGCCTTTGTCTGGCTGGGTAGCCCTGAACTGAACTAGCGAGGCATTGAGCCATATAGGACATAAATCCGCGCCGCACCCATTCATTTTCCCCATGCATCCCGGCCGAGACAGTGGGGGGGGGGGGGGGGTGCGAACTACGTCGCTGTTTCGTCGCTAATTAAGCTAAAGCCTCGCGGAAAAAAATGAGCGTGAAACCAGTTATGACGCAGCAACTGGTACCCAATTTTAAGGTCTCAGGTCAAGCGGTTGCCTCTGTGGTCAGGTCAAGTACGAAAAGGTACAGGACTGGTTTTTGGTACCTTAATAGTTTCGCAAAAAAAACTTGCGGAGCTGCAATTAGGACATCATTGTATTCTATTTTCCATGCTCAGGTGCGTCGAATCATACCTATATAAAGTTTTGTCCAGGTGAGGTCAATTTAGGGTGTTGACCTTGGGTCAAGGTCAGGAGAGAGCCACTCAGGTCATAAAAGGAGGTTATGCCGCATATCACTCAATCTGGTAGGTCTTGCCGAGACCTGCATTTGTGATTTTCCCAACTCGCTAGCTCAATTCGATCGGAATTATTTGATCGGAATAGGGGAGTTATTGACGAAAAACTCTTATTGTCTTAGTGACGTCAAAAATAACGTGACTCAAGGTCAACGATGCAATAGTGAAATCCAAACTTGCAAGAAGTGTATGAAATCACGATTCCATGTGCTTGAAGTAGTTTGAAGCCTCGCCACAGCAACAAGATCCCTTGCTATGGGGTGCGAAGGACAAAGGGAGGGGTGTTAATGTGCCTGCTGGCATGACGCCACTATATTTGCTACCATCATGCCGTAGTTTCTGCTTTAGAAAATGTGCAAATGAGTACCTGAGGTGCACACAGACACCTGATATCACCAAAATGCTGGGACGTAGAGACAGCGTTTGCGTCAGCTGTTAAAGAGGCCCTCCCACCTTAAAAAAAGAGTTAATGCATTGGCATAAAAGTGGTAGCGCATGGTTCAGAGTGAGCAAAAATGAAGAGCTTCCAAATTTGATTAAAAATAATAGCCAAATTTTGAGAAAATAGACAATTACTTTTGTATATTTTTCAGAGCCTTCGCTTTTCCTACGACGTCATCTGGAGACGGGAAGCAATAATTACGGAGCGAGCGAAGCGAGCGGAGTCTTTCCTTAGATTAACGGAAATTTCTGAGTATGAGCGGCCGGCCGTGCGGACGCTTTTGCGAGGCTTATATCTCAGCAACCACTTGACCGATTTACATGCGGTAAATTTTGTAGGGTAGCTTCATTCCTTCTACCAAGTATTGGACTATTCTTGATGCATGTGGGTGACCCCTTATGCACGTGCCACGTGCAAAACGAAGAGGTGTCAGTTTTGTAATTGTTGCAATATCTCGGTAACTACTTGGCCCATTGCGCTGAAAGTTGGCATGTAGGTAGCCGGTAGGCACCCACTAGGCACTGCATATCCATGTGCCAGAGTTGGGGTTCTGCTGCACGTGCGCACGTGCAGGGGTCGTTTCCAGATCTCGAGAACGGCTCGACCGATTGCGCTCAAATTTGGTACACAGTTAGGGACCGGTTAGTAGAGTGCCGTGCACAAGTCAGTTGGGACCCATTTTGCACGTGCGCACGTGCAGGGTGCTGCTTCCAGATCTCGAGAACGGCTGGGCCGATTGTGCCCAAATTTGGCACATCGCTAGAGACCGGTTAGTAGAGTGCCGTGCACAAGTCAGTTGGAGGTACCCCCTCGCAATTTCGCACGTGCAAGGCCCACCCTCTCGCTCGCTCCGTTAGTCGCCTCGAAAGGCGTTATACTGGTTACGGAGCGAGCGAAGCGAGCGTAGTCTTTCCTTAGATTAACGGAAATTTCTGAGTATGAGCGGCCGGCCGACCGTGGTCACGATTCTGCGACGCTTATATCTCAGCAACCAGTTGACCGATTTACACGCGGTAATTTTTGTAGGGTAGCTTTATTCCTTCTACCAAGTATTGGACTATTCCCGATGCATGTGGGTGACCCCTTATGCACGTGCCACGTGCAAAACGAAGAGGTGTTACTTTTGTAATTGTTGCAATATCTCGGTAACTATTTGGCCGATTGCGCTGATAGCTGGCATGTAGGTAGGCACTAGGCACGCACTAGGCAATGCATATCCATGTGCCAGGGTTGGGGTGCTGCTGGACGTGCGCACGTGCAGGGGTCGATTCCAGATCTCGAGAACGGCTGGACCGAAGGCGCTCAAATTTGGTACATGGCTAGGGACCGGTTAGTAGGGTACCGTGCACAAGTCAGTTGGGACCCATTTTGCACGTGCGCACGTGCAGGGTGCCGCTTCCAGATTTAGAGAACGGCTGGGCCGATTGTGCTCAAATTTGGCACATCGCTAGAGACCGGTTAGTAGGGTGCCGTGCACAAGTCAGCTGGAGGTACCCCCTCGAAATTTCGCACGTGCAAGGCTCACCCTCTCGCTCGCTCCGTTAGTCGCCCCAAAAGGCGTTATACTGGTTTGGTATAAGTGCTTGAGATGTCACGCCCAAATAACCGTCCACCACCGCTTCAGAGAGATGTTAGTATAAGGTTTTAAAATCGCTAGATCTGCGCTGACGTCACAAACTCAGAGGTGGCATTCAAATGCATTAGCCCCTCCAAAATCAAAGTGCTGCAACTTTGAACTTAAATATCTCCGATTCTCGATGTTGTGACTGCCCAAACCGGAAAGTGCAAGCCAAGGACCCCAATTTGGCTATCTCAACTCAAAACTAATGTTAAGGTGGGATGGTAAATTTTAGGGGCACGCTGTCAACTGGTCAGAACGTGAAGATGGTAATGGGTGACGAAAGCTGTTTGGCCTACCCAGGAACAGAAATGTGATCTATTGTCGGTTTGTATGTTCCTGTAAGAGGCGATACAACTGCAGCCTGAGCACAAGTTTCCTTGCCGGTTTCCAGCTTACTGATGAGTGATATAGCTATAGTTCGTTTTTTTCTAAGTTCGACCCTCACTGTAAACGTCTCTTTGAACACAGCACGAGAATTGGTAGCTGAATTGCTGAGAAAACTCGTAGGCCAGGGCGTATTTTAAGGGATTTTCACTGGGTCGGCAATCACAATTAGGGGCGGCATTTTGCACTCATAGGGGCGGCACTTGGCATCTGAGGGGGCGGCATACCTACTGATATTTAATGACCAAAAAAGACACGTTCGACGGTTCTTTTATAACTCTTCCTAAGTAATGATTTCAGATTCAACCTAAGCTCAGCGGTATTACGTTTATTTTTCCGGGATATAGTATTTCTCTCATCATAATGCGATAAATGAACTATAATTTGACCTAACAAAAAATAATTTTAAAATTTTACCTGAGGTAAACATGTTACATACCAGTCGATTCGTATCGTCAAGCTTAAAATATTCACGGCGTTTTATGGCTCTATCTAGAACAGTGGTCGGCAGGTCGCACGAGTGTGCCCACTTTATGGGCGCTGGACGGGGCCATTACCCCCACTTGTCATACCCCATTGCTTACACAGCAAGGGTCGCTGATATTCGGCCATATCCTTTGACGCCTCTATTTTTCTGCATAGGTATAAATAAAATGCAACACAATTAACTCTCTTTTTTATGGAGAGGGAGAGCGTGTGGAGTAAGGATTAACTCATACATTTTTTATTTATTAGTTACTCGCGTAATGAACAGCGTATTGCAACGATACATTCATCCCTCCCCCCCCCCCCCAGGTTAATGAATGTTATACCTACTTACTCAAACATTTTCGTGACCCCAGTGACATTGTCATTGAGTTTTTAAAATTTGAATGACCTTCACTCGGTAACTTTCTCTCCGGCTCGGCCGGCGGACAAAACGCAAGCGAAGACAATGCGGGGAGTCCGGTGCTCTACCAACTGAGCCACGGAACAGGCAAATGCTCACCATAGATATACCGACTGAACGATCCCTTTATAACTTCAGCGATTGATAAGACAAACAGTGTGTAACTGTATATATAACCCTCGCCGGCACAGGCCATTTTGAGTCCTTCGACGGCACAAGGTTGGTTGGTACGACCCCCCCCCCCCTCGCGTTTGGCCCCTGATGGAGCTAGAGCTTCGCAGGAAAAAACGAGCGTGTTGCCCGTCACGAGAGGAAGCCAATGATACCCAATTTCAAGGTCCTAGGTCATCGGTTGCAGGGTTGTGCTAGACTAAAAAAAAATTGCCGACTCGACTCATCATTCAACTTCAGAAAGACCTGACTCAACTCTGACTCAAACAAGGAGCTGAATTTTTCCCTTGACTCGACTCATGACTCAAGCGGCTCAATGAAAATATGAGTCGACTCAAACTTTACTCAAATTTTTTGTTGAGTCAAGTGAGTTGACTCAAAATTGACTCAGATAAAAAAGTTGTTGAGCGGGGGGGGGGTGAAAAAAATCCCGGCAGCAGGGCCAGGGCGAAGTTGTTAACCGGGGGGGGGGAATGAAAAGCTTGTTTCTAGAAAGTTGAGTCAGCTAACTCATGTTCCTAATGTTTGACTCAACTCAATGTCAAAAGTTATTTTCCTGACTCAACTCTGACTCAACTCAACGCCTTAATATTTTTGTCCGACTCAACTCTGACTCAACTCAACAGCTCAACATTTTATCCGACTCGACTCAAATCTGACTCATTTGAGTCAGAGTTGAGTCAACTTTCTGACTCGACTCATGAGTCAAGCACAACCCTGATCGGTTGACCTTCCAGGTCAGGTCAATGACCCAAAAATCGGGAATATCGGGACCTGTTTGAAAGTCGTAAATTGTGGTTGCTAAGGGGTTTTCCGGGGTGCTGATCACAAATATCGTGTTAGTTTTGATCACAGATGATGTCGT